ACCAACATCAACACCATCATCATTACCATCGTCACTATCATCATCATCATTACCATTATCACTATCATTATCACCACCACCACCGCCACAACCAACACAGCTGCCTCCTGAATAATTAGAAGAGTGGAAAACTAGAGATTTGGACTCAGCAGTGCCATCTGAAATATCCATTAGGGGGAGATGGGGGTGGGAGGAACCACTAGGTATCCAATAACTGGATGATATCTACAATAAACTATGATACAAGAATGTAAGAGAATATTATTGCCCCTAAGAAAGGACAAATATCAAGAACACCAGAACTCCAAGGAGATTTCTGTGGAAGGATACGAAAGTCAAAACAGTAGAACCCAACACTTTACTTTACTTTAAACAATATCAGCAGAGGGAGCCAGCATCAATAGCAACACAGTTGATGTTAGATACAGCAGACAATGTTGGTGCTCCCTTGTTCAAGGTAATGCCCACGGGCCTTTGTTTCTTTTATCAATCAGCAAATAACAGAAGGGCATAACGTATGAACAATCATTTGCAATCACTGTTTGAACTGTGGCTGTCCCTTCTTATTTACAGACGTTGAAGTTTGGGGTGGCGAGTGTTGTCGCTGTAGCTGCTCAGGGGCTGCTTTTTTCCTTGGTTTTGTTTATCTACACTCGGTCTTATTTGGGAAAAGTAAATCACTCTCTCAAAAACCCCAACAGCAGACCAGCTCTGTGCTGTTTGTAATGCACCGCTTTTCTATGGCACTTACTCCATCGTCTTATGCACGCGGTTCTTTCTCCTTGTCACTAGATGGGAAGATCCTTGAAGCCTGGGACCACATCTTGTGGCTAAATTGCCAGTTCCCAGACAGAAAATGAACATCATGTTTTATGAAACTACCTTTCCGAGAAGAGAAGACCTAACCCTGAGATCAGCTACCAAACTGGACATGAGTCAGGTAATGATTCCAGCCACAATATGTGCCATGACAAATATTATGAGAAGGCAAGAAAAGAGAAGGGATCACAGCACAGAGGATAAAGAAAGCAGGAGTCAAAGTCCTGATACTAGAACTGAGAGGTGGTGAGGCCAGTGGAGAGAGACTCCAAGACTTGTCTGGAGTCAAGAAGAGCTGGGTTCCAGTCACGTTTCTGACATCTCTCAGCTACATGGCCACGAGCAAGTCACTCACTGCTCAGTGCCATATATGTGGATAGGATTAATATCACTATCACCATTACAGTTAGTGCAGCCCCTCATTCCTATCTCAGCTACATCTTCAAGATTTAAAGAAAAACTACCCTCTCCAAAAAAAAAAAAAGAGAGAAAGAAGAGAAAAACTACCCAAACTTAAGAAGACATTGCTCTTTCCACGTGCATGGCCCAGGGGTGGGGAGGCGGGGGAGGAAGGAGCCTAATGAGGACTCACCAGTACAGAATATATATGCAAACATCGATAAACAGGAGAGAAGTCCACCAATTCTTGGGCCCCGGGCACCTGTAAATAGAAGCAAGAGGAAGATTAGCAAGCACACTGACAAAACCGTGGCTGGCGAGAGCCATCGCATCCACATCCACCGTTCCATTAGAAATCACTTCCATCTAAACCAGGCATCTCCTCCAGCCTACAGTATGGTGTTCTACACAAAATAAGTATTTAATAAATGTCTGCTAATTTTTGACTTGGCCATCATGGACAGTGTCCAGAACGCAGATCATCCAAATGGAAGAAGGCTTCCCTACATAAATCTCCTGAGAGACAAGAGATTTCTTTTACTTCTCATCCCCGATCAAACTTTACATCTGCATCCATCACACCCTCTCTCTGCTCTGTACTATATGTATTCCCATGTGGCTTTTCTTCCTAACGAGGCGATAAGCTTCCTCAGAACAGACGCACATTCTGTTCTTCTTGGTTCTCTAAGAGCCTCCATGTGTCCCTGAGTGCAGAGAGCTTTGCATTGACTACGCCAGACTCTAGATATCATGGAGCCTCCTGAATGAGATCCATAATCACTCCAAAGAAAGAATGAAGTAAATGAAGAATATCTAAGGTTCAAACTACACTAGGATGTGTATGCAGTTGGATGGACAGCCCAGAGACATGGTGCATGAGTACACACGTTTTGGACCCATGCTACTCACAGATGATCCACTAAAGACAGAAGGGCAGAAATGACAGACAGAAGGCTGCATTGCCTTGACGAGAACATACAATGCTTTTCATGATCCCAAGCTTCTCCCAGTAACTAAAGCCTATGGTATTTATTAACATTTTTTCAGTGATGTTTTATGGTTTCAGGAGATAGAATACCAGAGTCTCCAAAGAATTAAAGTTGAAGGTCATCCAAAGCACAACAGAGAGGTGCCCAGTGGGCAGAAGTAGGTAGCAACGATTACCAACCACAAATTTCACAAGAGTCGTCAAGTGTGATATCAAAGAGACAGGTGACCAGAAAATGAAGGCCGCTCATCTGGCAAGAGTGAGGGATAAATGACAGACAGCGAAGTAAATGAAGGCTTTCTAGGTCAAGGTACCTAGGGGAGGACATGGACAACTGGAGGTCACAGATCCACTGAGTTATCAAAGTTATCTCCAGCTCCCAGAGGGATCTGCAGAATCCCAACCCGGGGGGTGGGGGTGGGGGTAGGGGCACCTGATCGAAGATTCACATGAGGTAGAGCAAGGCAGCCACGAAAAGGTCTCTGAAGCTCCTTTCTAGCACAACCTATTTGATCCCGGGGGCTCTCAGGTCAGGTGAGTGATAGCCAATGGCAAGGAAAGGGAAATGTAAATGGGGATCTAGGCAAAGCCACAGCTGTGACCATCAGAAAACTGGTGATCCTCAACACATTAATCTCTGATGGTAAGGTCGCAGCTAGTCAACTGGAGTGGAACTAGGCCATCCTGGAAGGGCAAATGATGACTTTGCCGTTGAAGTGCTGATCTTTGCAGATCAGAATGACTTTCTGTCTCAACAGAGACAAAGACAGTCTAGACTCACAAAACAATTATAAATTAATTTTTTAAAAAAGAGACGACTTGGCAGTAACACCAAAAGATGAACTTAGACACAGTACTGAAACAAAACAACAAAAACCTAACTACAGACTGAGAAGCAAGGAGAAACTTCTGTTTCCAGGTTAGTCAAGAATGTGCGTGACCACGGACAAAAGACAATATTTTGGCCCCCAGAGCCTCAGTTCCCTTGTCTGTAAACTAGAAGCACCAGCACATGACTTGCCAACCTTAAGAAGGATAATAAAACTGAAATGAAATAATCAATGCAAAAATGCTCTGAAAAAAGAAGATTCATTGGCCCACAGACCTGGAACAGACCCACTCATTTAATGACCTCCTCATTTTACAGATAAAGAAACTGAGGACAGTAAAGAGAAGTGCCCAAGGTTACACAGATAACAAGCGGCAGAACCAGAATTTGAATTTGGGTCCGTGAACCCCAAGCTCAGTTCTCTCTACTAGACCATGCTGCCTCCTGCAATTAAAAGCACTATATAAAGAGAAGGCATTGAACGGTTTCTGATACTGCTCCCAGCTCCACAGGATGGAGGCTTCTCAAGGCAATGCCTTGGGTTTCTCTGCTCTATTAGCTCTAACTAGCCTCGCTGGCTCCCATGGCCTTGGCTGGCATTTCTGTGCAGATGACTCCCAAGCCTGACTATTCTTTTGACATCCAGGCCCAAATCTCCAACTACCAACAGGACAGTTCTACCCTGTTCACTCTCATAGGCACATAAAATTGAACACATCCCATAAATCTTCTTTGAGTTTCACTATTTCCTTCTCTACCATAGCTGTTCACTCCTGCTAAAAAGTTTGAGTTATTTTCCCCACAAAACCCGCCTGACTTCTCCACCGTGCCTCAGGGAGCTCAACACCCACAAGATCCCCTCAGCTTTGGTCCTTGTAACTTATCACTACATTCTGGCCCTGTGACTGAAGAGCAAAACTGTGCACCTCAAAGCCTCCCTCTAAGGAGGGCCCTCAGCTCAGAACGTCTCTTCACCTCCTGGCTGTACTCCATCGGGACTGCTCTGATTTCTCCATCATGCCCTTTGATTAGAAGCTCCTTAAAGAGAGCGAGACTGTCTTTATTTTTTGGTTTTAGTTTTTTGGGTTTTTTTTGGAGGGGTGGGGGTTAATCTGTATCCCCAGGACTTAGCACAGCATCTAGCACTTAAAAGACACTTAATGTGTTTACTGAATACTGCTGATTCCTGCTTTTCTCTAGCCTATAACATTCAAGCAGTCATTCAGTCCAACATCTCTCATATCTGCACTCCCCTCAATTCCAGTGGCATTCAAACCTTTTCATCTGTTCTCATGCCTCACATGACCGCCATCCACCTGCCTTCTTAGCTGATGCCTTTGCCTCAGAAGTCTCCCCCAAATTGAGGCCATTTGCTAAAACCTTCCCTGTCTCCCCTGCCCCATCACCATCATCATCATCTCACAACATCCACTAGGTTCTAAGTTCCTGGAGAGCAGGGGCTGCCTTTTGCCTCTTTCTGTATCTGCAGAACTTAGCACACTGCCTGGCACACAGTAGGTGCTCAATGAATCTTGACCGACTGACAAAACTCCGATGTTTCGTCCCACTATTTCCTCCTCCCCTCCCCTCCCCTCTCTTCGTCCAGGAGCACCCTGGACACCCACCCCCACTTCTTGAGGAGATCGTCCTCTCGGCCAGCCCCACTCTCTCACCACCTCCTGGCTCCCTCCTTGTCGCCTACCAACATGTCCGCGTCTCCTCTGCCTTGACCAACTCCTCACTTGCTCCGACTCTTCCCACTAACTGCCGTCCTTTGTTTCTCTTCCCTTCTCTGCTCGATGCCATCTGCACTTGGCACCCCTACTTCTTCAAAGTAGGACACTTGTTTCTAGAACCTCAGCAATCTGGTTTCCAACCTGATCATTCAACTGAAGCTACTCTCTCCGAAGTTAACTGTCAAAACTTAATCAATGAATAAACGTTTACTAAGGCAACTACTATGTGCCAAGCAGGGGCGCGAGAGGGGAGGGGATATTAAAAAAAAAAAGGCAAAATGTCAGACCATGCCTTCAAGGAGCTTACAATCTAATGAAGGAGACAACAGGTAAATATATACAAAGCACACTATATACATGATAAATAGGAAATAATTAACAGAGGAAAGGCATTAGAATTGAGGGGTTGGGGAAAGTGTCCTGTAGGAGGTGGGATTTTAGGTAGGTCGGTGGTCTGAGATGAGGGGGAAGAAGTTTCCAGGCACAGAGGACAGCCAGAGAGAATGCTAAGAACTAAGAGATGGACTGTCTTGTTCATGGAGTAGCCAAGAGGCCCGTGCACCTGGATCAAACAGTACATATCGGTGGTATAAGGTCGAAGAAAACTGGAGAGGTAGAAAACTTAGAAAATCTACTGACTTGTTCTCAATCCTCCTTCTTCTTGACCTCTCTGCAGCCTTTGATGCTGTCCATAACCCCCTTCTCCTTGGTACTCTCTTCTCCCTCTCCTGGTTCTCTTCTGGCCTACATGACCACTGCTGCTCATTGTCCTTGGCAGGAACTCCATCAGATCACACCTACTAGCTGTGGGGGGTCCCCCAAGTGTCGGTGCTGGGCCCTCTTCTCTCTTTTTTTCTTCCGTGTATTAGCTGCCTTAGTGATTTCATCAGTTACCATGGGTTCGGTTGTCATCCCCTTGTGGTTTTCATGCTGTCTCCACCATTAAACTGTGAACTCAGAGTTGCCTTTCATTGTAGCTGGCACAAATGCTTGTTTACTTCCTTGACGTAGAACTAGCATTTCCATCTCCACTCTATTGCCATATCTAGTTTCTACATTCCTAACATCTCACGCACGTCCTCTTCTCTCACACAGCCATCACCCTGGCGCAAGCCCTCATCACCTCATGCCCAGCTGGACCACTGCGACAGCCTTCTTCTTGGTCTGATTGCCCCGTGTCTCTTCCCACTCCAAACCGTCTTCCACCTAGCTGCCAAAGTGATTACCCTAAAGTCTGGCCATGTCACTGAGTGCTCAATAGATTCCAGGAGCCGCTCAAATACAAATGTGGGCCTGCCCACTAGCCCCTTTTTGCCTTTCTAGTCTTATTAAATTTACTCTGCTGGTCCAGTGCTCTACAATCCAAAGACACTGGCCTTCTCGCAATCCTCACACATGACACTCTTCCAAATCCATGTCTGAAATGTTCTCCCTCCTCATCTCTAATGCATGACTCTTCTCAAGTCTCAGCTCAAAACCCAGCTTCTGCAGAAGGTCTTTTAAGGTCTTTTTTTGGTGGTGCCCTTTGCCTCCAACCCACCCTCTCCTTCCTTCTGTTTATATTGTACTTATCTGCTAAGCAGTGAGTGATCTGCATGTCCTCCCCCATCAGAATGTGAGCTCCTGGAGGGAAGGGCTGTTTTTGCCTTTCTTCTGCATCTTTACCCCAGTGGCTGGTATGCAAAGAATGTTTGTTGACTGACTGATTG